ACAGACAGACAGACAGACAGACAGACAGACAGACAGACAGGCAGACAGACAGACAGACAGGCAGGCAGGCAGGCAGACTGACAGACAGACAAACAAACAGACAAACAAATAAACGGACATAAACGGATAGGCGGAAACAGAAAGACAATTGCACAGATCGCAAAAATCAAGACACGCATATGCATAAAACCCACATACACGCACCACCTATATTCACACATGCGCACTTTGACGACCCTTCAAAGCTTCTTAAACTGCCCATTCTGTCATGTTGAGATAGATTTATCGATTTGTTATCACCTTATTATAACATTATATTCACTGTTTTGCTTTCTTGTCAATTATCATTAATTTTTTATCATTTTTTATAGTCATTTATTACTACAGTTGTATGGGTTTACATATGCGGAATTATCAATGAAGCTATTCTGTGCTATTTGTTTTTGATAATCTTTCTACCTCATTTTATCTTCTGACTTTCCCAGTGATTTTCTCTAGGATATGACCTTTCGATAGTGAACAACACTGAACTGACATCGATCGATGAATTGCTCTTCCACGATCTATTGGACGTGGAAATTTCGGATAACCCGCTCCTCGCGCTGGATTGTACGCATATCATAGAATACTACAGTAAAGTGAGAAGAATCCAAGGAAACGTTAACGATTGCGGTGAGTATAACAGTTTGTAAAAGACGACAAGGCTAACGTGCATTCTGCATTCAGCATTTGTGCTCTCAAAGTCGTTTCAACAAAGCAGGGATGTACTTCAGAGACTGCGGAAATTAACAAATTTTCAACCTCTCTCTAGCCTTCTATGCATCCCAGAAATTACCTCTACAATTGTGTGAAGATAGTTGGCAAGTACAGTAAAATGAGAGTGTTATGCATGAACAACATATCCCTTCTCTTCCATTGAAAATGGATGTTGGTATAGCACGCCTTCGCATGCGTGATCCGGGGATCGACTAACGGGCCGTTACCCGCCCAGTAAGTGAGCATCCCATCTCTCCGGACTAGATTGATCAATCCAAGAGTCGTGACCAAGTCATTGTATACATACGCATCCAAATTCCACCACTTTTCTGGACTGAGGTCGAGTGTGGGGCCAATTCCTTACTGTTTATCTCTGCCTTTGAAAAGAAAGGAGAGTGCAATCAAAGAAGGAATTCTAAAAGTATAACCTTCAAAACAGAACCTTAGGAGGTGCTCTATCTGCTCTTCTGTTGTGCCAAATCGTCTCTACCTGCCCCTTCAATTGGAAGATTGTTTATCCTGATGACGATTCGGCGATGTTGAGAACGAGGTTCAATGTATTCTGAAAGATTCAGTGGCAAGATCTTATCACTCGTAGGACTGCCACAGTAGCAGTTTTCCTGTAGAAAGCAGACATTGCAGGGTTGGAAGACTAGGTTGTTCGGGGAGGTATCCGGTCAGAGATTTGATTTTCAGATTGTGTGATCGTAAGTCACATGACACTTCGCCATACTCGCTGAAGCATCATATTGTAAGATACTTCATGATAATGAGCAAACGAGTATAGTACAAGAAATTGACGAGGGCCCAGTCCAAGCCAAGAGGCGCAAAGAAGGAATCCTCGATCGAACTACAGGGTGTCCCAAAATTATTTGCGCCAAAGTTCAGTAATTTTTACGGTAGAAATAATCCATCAAATTCACATTACCTGTTATTAATTAGTTGCATAAGAAGGTTTCCTTGCAATATGCATGGTTGCTGATGTGTAACTACCATTATCTTTTAGATGGAGGAGGCTCATTCAATGCCACTTGCCATCATTGACGCGCGAGAAGTGGAAGGGCGTTATGAAATTCTTTGGGATTCTTCTAATAACCGTACAGGAGGCCATTAAACGATATAGAAAAGAAGATTGAATCAGAGATAAACCAGGAAAGATAGAAAGGTAGAATGTTTTTGAAGATAGGACTATTAAAATGGTCCGTATGCCAATCGGTCGGGATCCTGGGTGACCCATCAAAAGGAAGTCAACGGGCACGGCTT